ATGGGCATCATGAATTCCTTTGTAAACGACATCTTCGAGCGCATCGCAGGCGAGGCTTCCCGCCTGGCGCACTACAACAAGCGCTCCACCATCACCTCCAGGGAGATCCAGACAGCCGTGCGACTGCTGCTTCCCGGAGAGCTGGCCAAGCACGCAGTGTCTGAAGGTACTAAGGCTGTCACCAAGTATACAAGCTCCAAGTAAATGTGTGCTTAGGCACTTTAGAACTCAAAGGCTCTTTTCAGAGCCACTCAAGTCTCACATAAAGAGCTTTAATGCTGAATATCACCGTTTTCTAGGGAATAGTTTTTCCAATTTTGTAGTTCCAGCACTTTGGGAGCCCGAGGCGTATGCCGATCTAGACAAGCCTACCTAACATGGTTAAATCCCGTCTCTACTAAAAATGCAAAAAATTTGTCGGGCGTAATCCCAGCTACTTGAGAGGCTGAGGCAGGAGAATTTTGAACCCGGAAGGCGGAGGTTGCAGTGAAACGAGATGGCGCCTTTGCATCCCAGCCTGGGCGATAAGGGCGAGGCTTCGTCTCAAAAAAAAAGAAAAAAAGGCACGAGATACACGTATTCTGTGTTGGCAAGATCCTGTAATCCTAGCAGTTTGGGAGGCCGATGCATGAGGCTCGATTCAGCCCAGGAGTTAACAGGTTTACCTGGGTAATATACTGAGAACTCATCTTTGCAAAAAATGAAACTAACCGGTTGTGACTCGTTGCGTCTGTACTATCACTTACTTGGTAGGCTGAGGAGGTAGGATAACTTAAACTGGAGCTACAGGTTGCAGGAAGATGTGATCACGCCACTGCAATTCCAGCCTGGGCGACACTGGTAGGGGTAGGAACAGTAGTCTTTCGGTCCCTGAAGATCACCTGACAAGTTTGACTCTTCTGAGCACTCTGTTGTGGAGTTTGTTGTGGAGGGACTATCATGGGCATTGGCAATGTAAAGTTGAGCTAAAAATCTCGTTTTGGGCCGGGTGCGGTGGCTCACGCCCGCAATCCCAGCACTTTGGGAAGCCGAGGTGGGCGAATCACGAGGTCAGGAGATCGAGACCATCCTGGCTAACTTTGAAACCCCGTCTCTACCAAAAAAATACAAACAAAATTAGTCGGGCGTGGTGGCACTTGCCTGTACTTACAGCTACTCCGGAGGCTGAGGCTGGAGAATCCCTTGAACCCGGGAGGAGAGAGTCACCAGACCCGGGAGGCGGAGGTTGCAGTGAGCCGAGATCGCGCCGCCACTGCACTCCCATCCTGGGCGACAGAGCTAGACTCTGTGTATATAAATATATACATGTAAAAATATATACATATAAATATATATACTATATATAAAAATATATATATATATAAATATACATCATATACCTTTAGACCAGGAAATGAAGCTGAATGAATCCATAAGTCAGGAGTTTCAAAAACAGCCCCTGACCCACATAGTGAAACCCCGTGTCATACATATACCTTTGAACCCGGGAGGCGAGGCTGGTGGATCACTTGAGGTCAGGGGTTCAAAAACAGCCTGACCCACATGGTGAAACCCCGTGTCTACTAAAAATACAAAATTAGCCGGGTGTGGTGGCGCATGCTTGTAACCCCAGCTACTACGGAGACTGAGGCAGGAGAATCGCTTGAACCCGGGAGGCGGAGGTTGCAGTGAGCCTAGATCGCGCCATTTCACTGCAGCCTGGGCAATAGAGGGAGACTCCGTCTCAAACACAGAAACCATTAGTTTATACTCATTAATCAAATTTCTAAAATGGGACCAAAAAAAAAAAAAAAAGGTCGCTACTCCATAGTACTCCATGAGCAACCTCAGGTTTCTGAAAACAACATAGCACTCCAAAGTATGGTGCCTTGACACAGTGAACATTCTAAGAAATTAGTAGAACAACATAGACAGGAATGTTCTTATGACCTTCCTCTGACGCAGGTCTTAAGACCTTCCTGTGAGTCTTGCAGAGTATGAGAGGAATCGGAACAAATAGACATTGCTCGATTTCTCCTTGTTTATTATCCTTGGCTCATATTATTTTTGTCTCGTTATATTTCTGCATGACTCTCTACTCTTCATCAGACCTAGTGCAAAAACACTCAGGTTTAACCCCTTCTTCAGGTCTTTATTTCCTTATGTCATGTAAAACCTTATATTAAATGTATATGTTTTTCTCTTGGCCAGGCGCCGTGGCTCACGCCTGTAATCCCAGCACTTTGGGAGGCCGAGGCGGGCGGATCACCAGGTCAGGGGATTGAGACCATCCTGGCTAACACGGTGAGACTCCGTCTCTACTGAAAATACAAAAAAAATTAGCGGGGAATGGTGGCGGGCGCCTGTAGTCCCAGCTACTCCGGAGGCTGATGCTGGAGAATGGCGTGAACCTGGGAGGTGGAGCTTGCTGTGAGCCAAGATCGCGCCACTGCACTCCAGCCTGGGCGACAGAGCAAGACTCTGTCTCAAAAAATAAACAAATAAATAAATTTAAAAAATAAATGTATATGTTTTTCTCTTGTTAATCTGTATTTTGTTTCAGGGCCTCAGTCAATGAACATAAGATGGGTAAAAGGAAACACTCTTTCCTCCCCTACAACACACACTAGGGGTGGATGTGCATCTGTGTTCTGTGTGTTTGTCTTTGTGGAGTACAAAACCTGGCATAACATAGAAAAGATGTGGAGAAAAGTAATCCTAGAATGAAAATATTTGAGAAGTGTGTTTGCTAGGGCTGCCAAAACAAACTACCAAGACTGTGTGGCTTAAAAAAATTAATTTTGTCACAATTCTGAAGGCTGCTAGTTCAAGATCAACCCAGTGAACACGATTGATTTTTTCTTGGGCCACTCTCCTTGGGGTTTCCCCTCTCTGGTCTTTCCTCTGTGTGTGTGGTTTGTTTTTTAATATCATCTTATGAGGACAGTAGTCAGATTAGATTAGTACCCACCCCTAAAACCTCATTTTACACCTTTAAAGACCTTATCTCCAAATAAAGTCACATTTTCAAGTACTTGGTATTGGACTTCAATGTTTGAATTGTGGGCTGGGGACAGGCAATTCAGTCGATATCAAAAATTATGGTGATTAAGCTTCTAAATAGTACACGAATTAAGTATTTCACAGGCATATCAAACTCAGGGCAACTAAAACAGACCTTATGATACGCTACCTAGCTTCACTTACTCATCCAACTTTGAAATCTAGTCCCCATTCCAGAGTATTCCCTTTTCTTTTATGCAAATACTTAAAAATATATGTCTTACTGATTCTAACTTCTAATTTTATGTTAATATTGTCCATATTTTTGTTTACTGTGGCTAAAAACTGGAAATATTAATGTTGAAGAGTTAGACTTTGCCTAAAACTAGGTTTTATCCCTAATGGAATATTATGCAGCTGTTAAAAATAATGCTTTTAAAAAAAATAAATGACATAAAATATGCTCATTGCATTGTATAGGGTAAATGCAAGTTGCCAAATAGCGTATTCTTATTTATGTGACATCACACACACACACATTCACACGCACACACACACTATATAGTTTTAGGAAAAAAGAGTGACTATAAGGGTCAATGCCAAAATGTTAAGAGTGCTGTTACATTTTTTTTGGTGCAATAGCTCCTCTGAAGGTAACTTTCTCTATTTGTCTCTATCCAAAACTCTCCATGGTGTGGTTAAGAAATAGGAAACTCTCCCTAGGCCCTTTCCTCTCCAAGTCTCCCTGCCCTATGTTAAGAAAAATTAATTTATTTCACAGGTAATCATTGAGCACCAAGTATGTACCAGCTATTATCCTATGCAATACAAAAATGAATAGAGTAAATTTAAGATATACTTACTAAGGAAATTGAAAATCAAGACAATAGAATATCCTCGCATAAAAGGAAAAAAATTTTAAAACTGTGAAATGACTGTAAGGAATAGGGGAACAAGAAGGATTAAGGCCAGAAAGTGACATAATTTACGGTCAGGTCATGGTTACCTCTGGGGGCAGTAGCAGGAAGATGAGAGATGAGGTCAAAGCAGTTCTTGGTAATATAACAAATATAATAGACATAACCAATATATTTGATTGATAATTGGGTTCAGGCATGGCCATCATATTATTCTTTATAACTTGTATATCGATTTGTTACATTTTTAAATCTATCTAGAAGTACAAACTTAAAAGCAAGTAAAGACAAAATAATCTACAAACATGTTTGTGGAAAATCACTTCAACTTCTATAAAAAGAACTTCTGTAAACTATGAAATATTGCTTATAGCAAAAATTTGGTTATAAAAAAGGAAAACTCTCCTTACACTCCAAAAGACTGTAGATGCTGAAAAAAGAGTGGGTGCTTAACAAAAATCTCTGCTACTATATAAAACTTGATTTTTTTCCCCCTTTTTTCCTTTTTTTTTCAGATGGAGTCTCTTTCTGTCACCCAGGCTGGAGTGCAGTGGTGTGATCTTGGCTCACTGCAACCTCCACTTCCCAGGCTTGAGTAATTCTCCTGCCTCAACCTCCTGACTAGCTGGGACTACAGGCCACATGTGTGCCACCATGCTAATTTTTGTATTTTAGTAGAGATGGGGTTTCACCATGTTGGCCAGGCTGGTCTCAAACTCCTGACCTCAGGTTATCTACCTGCCTTGGCCTCCCAAAGTGATGGGATTACAGGTGTGCGCTGCTGCGCCCGGCCTATGATACTTGTTTTTTAAGGGATTTTTCTTGAAATATACTCCTTTTCTGCCAGGGAAAGGAAATACTTCACATGTACGCTGAAGTATTTCATTTCATCATTTGTCAATTTGTTTAGATTTACATTTATTTCATTCATATCCATTCAGGCACTTGTTCAGATAAATTAAACACATAATTTGAATTCAATATACTAAATGCAAGAACTAGTTTTGTAAAAGATATGAGAATTGTTTTACATAATCAGAACAGTTGCTGGGTTAGGAAAGGGATTTTGTGTGGTTCCCTGTTGTTCAGAAGAAAGTCCACATTCCTGTCATTGGCCTAACATGCCTCCAAACCTGGCACAAAGCCACTTGTCCAAGCATCAACCATCACTTCCAATACTGACATGATTTATACTATTGTCTGAACTTCTATTTTCTTTTATTTTTCTTTAGAGATGGAGTCCTATTCTCATTGCCCAGACTGGAGTGCAATGGCACGATCTCTGCTCACTTCAGCCTCTGCCTCCTGAGTTCAAGTGATTCTCCTGCCTCAGTCTCCCAAGTAGCTGGGATTACAGGCTTTTGCCACCATGCCTAATTTTGTATTTTTAGTAGAGACAGGGTTTCACCAGGTTGGTCAGGCTGGTCTCGAACTCCTGACCTCATGTGATATACCCGCTTCAGCCTCACAAATTGCTGGGCTTACAGGTGTGAGCCATTGTGCCTGGCCTCTTTTCTGACATTCTATATAGTATTTAATTCTTGCTCTGTTTTCCATAAAGGCATGTTTTGACTGACCAAATAGATTGGAAGCTCCTCAAGGGCAGGAAAAAAATATAGAGGGAGGTGGTGGGGAGAGGTTGTAATGCTAAACAATGTTGTTATGGATAGCCTCAAGAAGACTATGATATTTGAATACAAACCTGAAGGAAGTGAGGGGAACACTACCTACAGAAACCTAGAAGCTGACTGGACCACTCAAGGGGAACCATCGGTATGTCGTTCCTGTGAGGAGTACCTCTAGCAAGTTCCAGAACTGGTGGAGTTGGCTAGGAAGGAGTGGAAGAGTAGCGGGATTTGAGGCCAAAGAGTTAATAAGGATCAGACAGTGTGGCCTGTAACCCACTGAAAGGACCTTGAGTTTTTCATTAAGTGACATGAGAACCATTGTGGGGGTTTCAGCAGAGGAGTCATCTGATCTGAATTGCCCTTTATTGGAATTCCTCTGGGAGAACCAGGTGATGACAATGTTGTAGTAATAAAGGTAGAAGATGGCAGTGGCTTGACCAGAGGAGTAGCAGTGGGAATGAGAAATGGTTGGATTCTGTTTGTGTTTTCAAGGAAGAGCTCATAGAATTTACTGATGGATTGTTATGTAGGATGTGAAAGAAAAAGACAAAAATGATTCCAACTAACAGAGTATAAATGCCATTCACCAGTTTCAAGATGATGAGATTAGCTGTTTTGTCAGAGATAACGAAATTCTGTTGAAATTGGAAGTTCATATTAATTGGACTTTCAAGTAGAGATGTCAAGTAAGTAACAGGGTCTCTGAGTATGGAGTACAACGCTGTGGGCTGGTCATTCAGTGTTCATGACATAAATATATGTATAGTATCTCCACAGCAACAAGGAAACATCAGTTCAAAAGAATCAGATGGAGATTTTCATTCTCCAGGTCCATCTTCTCAGAGCGATCAGAAGTGGCAGAGCTAAGGGAAGAGAAAAGGCAGCATCAGATACAGAGCTCTGAAGCCAGTTTCCACAAATAGGCTTCAGGATGCCTGAGAACACATAGAATCGCATCAGGGGATTGAAATGTCCCCAAATATGTGATGACAGTGGGTGTATTTTGGAAAAACTGTGAATATCTATCACTGGATCTCCAAAGTTATTCCCCATGGCTCTAACTTTAATAGATTATTTGAGTGAGGATTCCAATGTTATTTCATACTCTTATGAGTAAGGGCATTTTTCCACATTTGTAAAATAGGAATAATATTTATTGTTTGTTCTGAAAAATATAGGATGAAAGGAAAATTACTGGAGAAAGAAATTGTAAAACTGTAAGTTAGAAATTCACATGTCATTAATACAAAACAAACATTCTTTACTTCTTTGACCCAAAGCTTTTTCTCTTTATTATCTACCTTCTTTCTTAAGAGATTTAGTCCCATCTTGTGGCTTTTTTACTCTTATGGCAATTATGCTTTGACTGTGAATTATGTTTCCATGTTTCTTTTCTTTCTTGTTTTTTTTTTTTTGAGACGGAGTTTCGCTCTTGTTGCCCAGGCTGGAATGCAACGGCGCGATCTCGGCTCACCACAACCTCCACCTCCCAGGTTCAGGCGATTCTCCTGCCTCAGCCTCCCAAGTAGCTGGGATTACAGGCATGCGCCACCACCCTGCCTAATTTCATAGTTCTAGTAGAGATGGGGTTTCTCCATGTTGGTCAGGCTGGTCTTGAACTCCTGACCTCAGGTGATCCACCTGCCTCGGCCTCTCAAAGTGCTGGGATTACAGGTGTGAGCCACTGCACTGGGCCCCATGTTTCTTTTCTAACCTGCAGGTTTTTATAGCCAACTGCCTATTTCATATCTTTCATATCTTTCTCTTAGATATGTAACAGGCATCTTAAATTCTCTCTGGATATACAAAAATAAGAATTTGAATCCTCTCCAAAACTTGTTCCTTTCTTATTTTTCCACATTTTAGCCATCGATACCTCGAATTCCAGTTGCTTTGGCTAAAATCATTGGAATCATCATACATTTTTGTCTGTTTTTCATACTCTACACATTCAGTAGCTCAGAAAAAACTATCAACCTTAATTCAAAATATATATAGAATCCAAGCACTTTTCATAGCCTGTACTACTAACACACTGGTCCAAGCCACTGTCATCTCAACTGCATTACTGTAGTACCCTCTGAACTGGTCTCCTTGCTCCTACCCTGGTCCCATCACAGTTTATTCTTCATCGGGCATCCAGATAGCTCATTTAAAAATATAAATCAGGTCCAGTGTGGTGGCTCACGCCTGTAGTCCCAGCCCTTTGGGAGGCTGAGGCGGGCGAATCACGAGGTCAGGAGATGAAGACCATCCTGGCTAACATGATGAAACTTCATCTCTACTAAAAATACAAAATATTAGGCAGGTGTGGTGGCTACACCCTTGTAGTCCCAGCTACTCGGGAGGCTGAGGCAGGAGAATCACTTGAACCTGGGAGGCTGAGGTTGCAGTGAGCTGAGATTGCGCCACTACACTCCAGCCTGGGTGACAGAATGAGACTCTGTCTCCCCCCCCCCAAAAAAAAATTATATATATACACACACACACACACACACACATATATATATGTGTGTGTGTGTGTGTGTCTATAAATCAGAGTATGTCAGTTCTCTGCTCAAAACCTTGCAGTGGCTCCCATCTCACTCAGAATAAAACAGTAGTCATACTGGTCTACAAGGCCATATAGAGACTCGTCTCCATTTGCCTTGCAGATCTTATTGGTTTTTAATTTGCACCCTTATCCAATACCAGCAGTGGGTTCTTGACCCTCAGAAAATAGAAATCGACAAAGAATATAAGATGGACTTGAGCAAGGCAGTTTATTAGGGCTTTCGGCTTGAGCAGAAAGGGAGACAACAGCCAGAGGTATACTTGCAGCTGGCTCCTTGAAAGCAAGCTAGCCTACTTTGTTATTCTTTTCTGGGCTTTGTCCAGGTGACATCATGGCATGTTTGGGGTGGTCTGTTGGAAACACCTTTGCAGTCCCTTGTCATGTTTTTTCCTGTGTCTCAGGCCTCACTGGCATCTTAAATCTTCATGCAGGGGTATAATTTTTATCATTAACATGATGCAAAATTTAGGTTAGGATAATCTAAGACCCTACAGTGCATGTTCATTTGGGGAAGGTCTTTTGGAAATCCCTATGCTGATGGCCAGGATGTTTGTGGTTAGAGTGTTCCACTTCTTTGATGTCTGATTGCTTGATTTTATGAGCGGAAGCTTCAGTGGCTGCAAGGTTATGGAGCTGGGTGCTGCTGTATTCAGCGTAGCATGTAAAGAAGTGTGGCGGGGTCCCTTGTCCTGCCTTCCAATGTCTGCCTCACTTCTGCCCCTTTTTCCAGCCATAATACTTGCTTTTTACCTCCAGGCTTTCTTGCTTGGTATTCCATTTGGAATATTCTCTTGTAGCAGGATGAGCCGCAGACAAAACTCCTCAGACACCGGATTAAAGAAGGAAGAGGTTTTTTATTCAGCCAGGAGCATCGGCACTCTCACTTTCTCAATGTATTTTTTCTTTATCATTTTATGAGTAAAATTTCCCAAGACAGTATCATTTAAAATATCACCTCTTCCAACCACATGCTATGCCTTTTCCTGCTTCAGTGATCTTCATAGCAGTCAGCACCATCTGACACAGTATGTTTTGTTTTGTGTGTGTACCACCACCCAATAAATATAAATTCTATGTACACAGACAGATTGTTTTGTTCTTTCTCATTCACTGCTTTAACTCCCAGAGCGTAGAACAATGCTTGGCACATGCTATGTGCTCCTTTTGGTCGCTGTTGTTACACTAACATCCTCATAAAACTTTTTCTCCTCAAACCAGTGCCTTAGTACCAATAACATGATGCTTTTCATATATATGCACAAGGTCACACTTTTAAAAAATGACATTCAAAATAACTATTTTCCTGATTTCAAAGTATCAGCCTACGGATTACTTGTTGGCTAGAAGAAAAATCTCATTTTCAGTGGAACTATCACCCTAAACCACCAATTTTTTTTTTTTTTTTGGGCAGTCTTTCTCTGTTGCCTAGACCGGAGTGCAGTGGTACCACCTTGGCTCACTACAACTTCTGCCTCCCGGGCTCCAGCCATTCTCCTAACTCAGCCTTCTGATTAACTGGGATTACAGGTGCCTGCCACCATGCCCGGTTAATTTTTTTATTTTTAGTAGAGTTGGGTTTTCACCATGACGACCAGGCTGGTTTTGAACTCCTGACGTCAGGTGATCGGCCCACCTTGCCCTTACAACGTGCTGGGATTAGAGGCATGAGCCACTGTGCCCAGCCCAAACCTGTGATTTTTCTATCACTTTGAATTTGCATAAAACCAGACATCAAGTGCTTCTGATGTAGTGTACTACTATGTACATTAAATGTGTAAACTGTTCCTGACAGGTATATTCACCTTTCAATTAAGTGTACGGAAGTCACTTGTACTTTACAGGACATGGAGAATACAGAAGCTAAAATGATTAAGAATCAAGCCAATCCAAAAAAAAAAAAAAACCATTCTGTAAGTCCGGTCTTCAAAAAATCAACGTCCAAAAATGGGGAAGTAGGGGAGAGGAGCCTGTTTTAGATAAGAAAACTGGAGACACAACCGAAGTTATGGCGGCATCCTTCTTTAAACAAACCAGATCTCCAAGACATCTGGGGCATAACCGGGATGTTTTCAATGTGGAATGAGTACAGGTCTTTTTTGAACAATAGACAATGAGATCCAAGTAGGAAGTAACGAAGGCTTTATTTTCAGAGTGAGAAGAATCCCAGGATGTAGTGAGCACTCTGTGTCAGTGAAGGGGAGCTGGAATATATACATGCCTTACAGTCAATCCTACATCACAGATTAAGGAGGTTTGGAAAAATTCTTTGAATATTATTCATGAGGGAAGTCAGGCACTTGCACTTTCGCAAAACATGTAACATACATTTCATGTGAACCATGGGGAGGATTTTAGCATTACAATGAGGTGAGATTTAGCTTTATGCTAAAAGATGAACTGTAGGGCACAAAGACAATTTGTTCAATCTCTACAAGCTGGCTGAAACTGGCTTAAGGTCTATGTCCACTTATCAATAACGAATATATGTAAGACTGGTCCTCTAATTGGAGTTGTGGCAGGACTGCAAAACAGGGGAAAGGGATTTCTGGCTGGTCAATCAGAATCCGTTGGAACATTTTCTAACTAGTTTCTACAATGCTTTCCAGCAGTTAGTTTCTGCTTACAGGAAAGAAATCATACGGCAATTAACACTAAGATGATTAATCCTTCATTTTTTCTGCTAGCCATGCAACTCGATTATGTGGGGTTTACTGTATACTCAACAATTTGGGGTATAATGTCCTATTATAGCGTAGTATGTATACTATAAAAACTGTCATAAACATTCTACCTACTTTTTAAATGTTTTTGTTACCGAGATTCCAGGGGTTCAGTCCAGGTCCTGCTGCTCGCCAGAGAATTTCAATGACCTAGAGGAGGGAAGGCTTTAATCCCGTGCTGCTGCTTAGGATAAAGGGAGATGAAATCACAAATCCGTCTCCCCGACCAAAATTTGGGGGGGTTTATGTAGCGAGAAGAGCGAGAAAATAGGAAATCAGGGAGCAATTGCTAAGGAAGTAATCATGATGGTTGAGAAACATGGGAGTCTCACGGTGTGGATGCAGTGATCCGGTGAGTTTCAGTTCCTCGCTTGAGGCAAGTACATGAGTTCCTAAACTTTAAAATTTGTCTCATGTGAGTTAAATGTTAAATTTCAAGCTTTAGGGTAGGGTTAAAAGGTCAAATTTCTTTATTCAAAAAACAGCAGATATTAGAACTTCTAAGGGACAACTGGGTTGGCTTAATATTCCGAAATGCATACTTGCAACCTCTCCTCGCGTGAGCTGATCTACCCCAGGGGCCTGTACACACCAGAAACTCGGTCATTAACAGAAAACAAGCCGCCAGGATTTAAGGCCCACATTACTGCCCAGAAGATTCGTTATGCTAATTCGCGTATCCGCCCGTTGCCAGGCACCGGCTTTGTTCCTCGCTGTCCGCCATTTTGAGCGGTTACGCACTCTCGCAGTTTTCCTACTTACGTGGAAAACCATGCAGTTTTATTAAAAAAAAAAAAGCGGTAAGAGAAACAGATGAGACACCACCACTCTAACCTTTTCAGTGCAACCTAAGCACCTACACCTCCTGAAAAGGCTATGCCTAATACAGCAATTCTAAATGAAAAGGGATCGTAGCCTAAAAAATGGTATGCTGAAACCAAATATAATTTCGAACGAAAAAAAAAAAAACCCGGGAAAGACATACGTACCTGTGGATAGGAACAATGACTTATAAAGTGACAAAGTAGTTAACAAAAGTCATTAGCTCTTTTAAGGAGAAGTGTGGGCGGCCCTGAAAAGGGCCTTTAATTAATTTGAGATAGTCGAGATGTTGAGTCGTTCAAGCAAGAGCCTTAGCCGCCGAAGCCGTAAAGAGTGCGTCCCTGTCGTTTGAGAGCGTAGACCACATCCATCGCTGTTACGGTCTTGCGCTTGGCGTGCTCCGTGTAAGTAACAGCGTCACGGATCACGTTCTCTAGAAACACCTTCAGAACCCCGCGGGTCTCCTCGTAGATGAGTCCAGAAATACGCTTGACACCACCGCGCCGAGCAAGACGCCGGATGGCAGGTTTGGTAATACCCTGGATATTATCTCGCAAGACTTTACGGTGACGCTTGGCGCCCCCTTTACCCAAGCCTTTTCCGCCTTTGCCGCGACCAGACATGACGAACCAGCCTCAAAAACAAACCGGAGGAATGTGAAAGACGAGCGACCGTAGTACCCTTATATGCTGGGAATTCGGACCTAATTGAAGACTGAAAACGCACATACGGGAACTTTGATACTGCCTGCTGGCCCCACCTCTCACAGCTCAGACCCGGATGACGTCACCAAGGACACCAGTTCCCGCCGGAAGAGTGCGCTCTCCATGGAGGCGTCTCTGCAAGTCTTAGTCCCCAAAGAGGAAATTTAGGCCTATTTTAACAACTAAATGAGATTAAATATATTAACATTTTTAAGTTAATATCATTTATTGCTTGGATGCTCTAGAACGATTGAACAGGAGCTTCGGCTCACAAGACTGGAACTGTAGCAATCTCCTTCCATGAGGAGTTCAGCTTTGTTCCCACAGGCATGGTGCCTCTGACATTTCTGCTGCTTGCTCTCTTGGGGACCGAGCCCCCTTAGGAAGTGTTTGAAAACTGCAAGATCTCACCCTCTCCAGCACCAAGCTAAGGGAAATCTGACCAAAAGGGTTTTCTTCCCGAAGAGAAAAATATGGATAATTAGTGATCCGTCGGACGCTGTGGCTCACGACTGTAATCCGAGCACTTTGGGAGGCTGAGGAGGGCGGATCACCTGAGGTTGGGAGTTCAATACCAGTCTTTAACATGGAGAAACCCGTCTCTACTAAGAACACAAAATTAGCCGGGCGTGGTGGCGCATGCCTGTAATCCCAACTACTTAGGAGGCTGAGATAGGAGAATTGTTTGAACCCGGGAGGCAGAGGTTGTGGTGAGCCGAGATCACAGCATTGCACTCCAGCCTGGGCAACAAGAGTGAAACTCCGTCTCAAAGAAAAGAAAAAAAAAAAAAAAGAAAGAAAATTAGTGATCCCATTAATTCTAGTCCTCATTGTGGAGGCCCGTGTTACAATTTTGGCTTTTCTTTTTTCCCTGTTTATTAAAATTTATAATTCTCATTTAAACAATTAGCTAACACGCACATCTAAACCTAAAAACTCACTGGTGTGTTAATGTTTAGTTCTCTATTGTTAGTTTTCTTTTCTCTTTGATGCTGGTAGCAGCCTTTATCACAAGAGAATTGGCAACGCGTAGTGGGCCAAGGTATTAAATAGGCGACTTCCTACAGACTTTTAAAATAAAAGGTGGTGTTGGGAGTCAGAAAACTACTACAAAATGAAGGCCTCAGCAGTAAGTTTTTCTCCTCCTACATTCCTCTCTCTCCCTCCCATTCTCCCCGGAAGCTAGCTATTGGAACTAGACTCCTTCCTCCCCAAGATGGAACATATAAACCAAAGCTAGCCCCAAAGCTGGCCGTAAAACCTAAAAATAATTAATCAAATTTTCCTCCTTCTGCCTTTTTGTGTAATAACTGGCAATAAAGAAATTATCTGGTCTGGCCTACCTCATTTGATTGTAGGTCATAAGACCCCGATTCAAGAGAGGGCTTGTTCTATGCCCAGGAGGAGAGAATGCTGCCTAGAAAGTCCAAGAAGAATCTAGACACACAGGCCTTGCTGGGCTGTTATGATTAGCTCAGTCTATTAGCATTAGCTCGTACCCTTTGTGTCCAATCATATTTCTACACAGCTGTCCATATTTTGTTGAATCTAAGCATAAAAATGTATGATTTCCCCTGTATCTTTGGGTCTTCAGTTTGAAGGCTACTGTGTACATGTTAGTTAATTTGAATGCCCTCCTAGACATACAGATGTTACGATTTCTACTGTGAAAAGAAATCAAATATGTAGAGACTAAACAAAAAGGAACTGTAAATTGCTGCTGTTAAAATCCCACCAATATCAAAATTCTGTGCGCCTGTGATATTTAGGAAGAATTTACATGCTTCTATAATAATTTTAATAGTATTTACATATTTGTATTTAAATGTATAAAACTGTAATTTAATAGAACATTAGTTAATATATTACTGAATTGGGGTTTTTTTTTTTTTTTTTTTTTTTTGAGTTTTTTGGCTGTAAGTTTATTCAATGCAAAATAATCCTCTCCAGTTTTGCTGAGGTGGCTGACCACGTCCATGACCAAATCTGCCTCTAAACTGGAATTCGGTTGCTGATCCAGCCCCAGCCTTGGCTTTCTTGTCAGTACCAGGGGACACAGCATTCCGTCTGCAGGTATCGCTGTCGGGTTCTCCTGTTGTGAGTCTTGCAGGTTGCTCACCTTCCATCCAGACCTTTAGGCCGAGGGCTGCCAGGCTCTGGACTCTGGACGACTGCGGCCTTCAGTGGCAGGCACAATCTCTGGGGGCAGATGAAGGTAATTATGGAGATACTGGATGCTGTCATTGGTAAGGTACCAGTAGAAATGTCTCCAGGCAAACTGTTCCTTCAAGTAGCCTTGGGACTCAAGAGACTGCATGACCTTCATGACACGAAGGTTGGGCACATTCTTGTCTGCCATTTCTAGGTGCTTAAGCATATGGACATCCTTCTTGGTCACCATGACTCCCGGCTTAAAAAGGAGTTCATAAATGGCAATCTGGTTCTTCTTAGGCATCAACATCTCGGCGACTGTGGGGTCTCGGGCCAGGGCTGGTACATTACTCAATTCTTAAACTTGTATGGTTGCACTGGTTTCCTATTGCTGGTTTGAAAAATTATCACATTTTATGATTAAAAAATACAAATTTGTAATTATATAGTTTTTAAAATTGGGGCTCAGTCAGATCTTACTGAGCAAAAGAGTCAAGGTGTTGACTTGATATTAACTAAAGAAATAAAGAGCCTGTATCTTTTCCCTTGCCTTTTTACCCTGTAGATGCCACTCTCTCCTTGGATCATGGTCCTTTTCTTTCACTTTCAAAGCTGGAAATTTATGGCCAAATCGTTCTCATGCTGCCATATCTCTAGTTCTCTATTCCAATTCCGTCTTCCACTTTTAAGAATCTTTGTAATTGTATTGGGTTAACTCGTAACATGCAAGATAATCTCCTTAAGGTCAGCCAATTTAGTAGCCTTAATTCCATATAAACTTTAGTTGCCCTTTGTCACGTAATGTAACAAAGACTGCAGGAATTTGCAGACTCCAGGGATTAGGATGTGGTCATCACTGGGGTAGCCTTATTCTGCTTAGGACAGTGGATCACAATATTTTTAGAATCTGATAGAAAGCTATATAATTTGTTCTGGGAAGGAGAAACACATATGGCCACATTTTTACATAAAATTTCAGAAAGAAGTTGTATTCCCCTCAAGCTGATGTACACCTTAGTTTAGATATTTACTTATGGAACTACAGAAAGCAAAAATCGACTGCTATACCAATGTAAATTTGCACATGAAGCTATTTAGTATTTTTAGCTTTCATTTTTCTCGGTTTTTCTTGTTGCTTTCATATTTTCAGTTGGGGTTTGTTTATTTGAATGTTTATATATGCTTTGTAAGTGCTGTGTTCTGTGTCCATTTATGTGCCAGACAGGGAGTGGGAAGTTGAAAAAAAATTGTGGGACGGGTGCGGTGGCTCACACCTATAATCCCAGCATTTTGGGTGTCTGAGGAGGGTGGATCACCTGAGGTCAGGAGTTCGAAACCAGCTTGGCTAATACGGAGAAAGGCCGTGTGTACTAAAAATATAAAAATTAGCGGGGTGTGGTGGCAGCTGCCTCTTGTCCTAGCTACTTGGAAGGCTGAAACAGGAGAATCACTTGAACCCAGGAGGCGGAGGTTGCAGTGAGCCAAGATCGTGCCATTGAACTCTAGTCTGAGCGATAATAGTGAAACTTCGGAACAAAAAAAAAAAAAAAAGAAAAGAAAGTAATATAGAATACTATTCCTTTTTTCTTAACTGGGTTGAAATTCTAAGAATATTTTGTATAAAATATTTTAAATATTTTTAAAAATACAAAAATATTTTGTAAAAATTCTAAGTATTCTACAATGGATGCCATTCATAACAATTTATGATCTTAAGTAAGGTTTGTAATACAAGCAATACAGTACAACTTCAATATCTTTATATGTGAGTATATAGAATAGAAAAATTGTGGTATTTGTAAGTAGAATGACATAAATTATTTTCTCATTTAAAAATCACAATTTTTGCCTATTAGAATAAAATGAACATATATGAAGTCAACCTTGAAGGAGAAAAAGTAAAAAACAACTTTGAGGAAGTGACAACAAAATATTTTAGGGTTAAGGGTGTTTCTCTCCTGGACTTCCAGTTATTACTCCCAAATGTTATTTTGCCAGTAGCCAAACTTTTCTTTAAACAAAGAACAATTTTGATTATTAGTGCTGCATCCAGGCACCGGTGTTCACATTTTTCAGTTTTCATGCACATGGCTTGTCTTGCTTTCCTTATATTTTGAAGAATTTGATTATATTATTTTAACCAGGCAAACTTGCCAATGCTGTTATGACTAAACTGGAATTAAGGAAGACATTCTTTTTCCCCACACTGTCAGTAGCAAAAGAAATATTACTTAATTTCAAAAGTTCTTTGCTTATGAAATCAGTTTGACAAGGGACACATCACAGCACAACATAAGATAAATGTGCACATCAGCACAATGGGCTAGCCTTGTAACCAGCACTTTGGGTAAAACAAATATGCTACCACTAACTTAAGATTAAGTACAGCATTTTGCCTTAAAGCAGTCAAAAGAACTGTGCTCTAGACCTACACAGCAGCAAACCCCTCAAATCAAGATAAAACCAAACCTGTTGGTAAACAGAAAATATGCAGGTAATTACAACTCTATAGCTGAAAAAGTGGGTGGCTCTTAAAAGAGCCTTTGGGATTGGGTATGAAGACGTTAGAATTACTTAGAGCTGGTGTACTTGGTGACAGCCTTGGTGCCTTCGGACACGGCATGCTTGGCCAGTTCCCCGGGCAGCAGCAGGCGCACGGCCGTCTGGATCTCCCTGGAGGTGATGGTCGAGCGCTTGTTGTAATGTGCCAGGCGGGAAGCCTCCCCGGCAATGCGCTCGAAGATATCGTTGACGAAGGAGTTCATGATACCCATGGCTTTCGATGAGATGCCAGTGTCGGGGTGGACCTGCTTTAGCACCTTGTACACGTAAACGGAATAGCTCTCCTTGCGACTACGCTTGCGCTTCTTGCCATCCTTCTTCTGCGCCTTGGTCACCGCCTTTTTGGAGCCCTTCTTTGGGGCAGGAGCAGACTTAGCAGGTTCAGGCATGTTAAAGAAACACCTCGTCCACAACCTAAAGAAAAATGACAAGTATCCTCACTCTGCAGCTCGTAATATCTCTAGAGCTGGTGTCCTAAACTGGCGTTTGAAAACTTACATATTGATTGGATAAACTGTCTCTGTGTGCCCTGTTGTATGCAAATTAGGCGATTCTCGCGATTCTTTGTAATTGGTAGGTTGTTCTAGCCAATCAAATAGCGTTATTTACAATTCGGCCTCCAAGTATAATAGTTTCTCACTTGCTAAGAAAATTCAGTTTTACATTTTTCACTTCGTTGCTTAACATCTATTTTGAGATATCACAATGTCCGGACGTGGCAAGCAAGGCGGAAAGGCCCGAGCCAAGGCTAAGACCCGATCTTCTCGGGCCGGCCTCCAGTTCCCTGTGGGCCGAGTGCACCGCTTGCTCCGCAAGGGCAACTACTCCGAGCGAGTTGGGGCTGGCGCACCGGTGTATCTGGCGGCGGTGCTGGAGTACCTGACTGCCGAGATCTTGGAGCTGGCGGGCAATGCGGCCCGCGACAACAAGAAGACCCGCATTATCCCCCGGCACCTGCAGCTGGCCATCCGCAACGACGAGGAGCTAAACAAGCTGCTGGGTAAAGTCACAATTGCTCAGGGCGGTGTCCTGCCCAACATCCAGGCTGTATTGCTCCCCAAGAAGACTGAGAGCCACCACAAGGCCAAGGGCAAGTAAAACGAGAATTTGCATATTGACTTTTTACGGAGGCAATCTTAACCAAAGGCTCTTTTCAGAGCCACCCATGTATTCATCAAAAGGGCTCATATTTTTTTCCATGTCAGCTATTTTGCAGTTTTGTTTAGTAATTCTTCTACCTGTAAGTGGGTGTCCTTACACTGTGCACCGTGAAACTAACCTTCCATTTTAAAGTCGCCATAAAAATAGTTAAGCTAATCGGCGGGGCGCGGTGGATCACGCCTGTAATCCCAGGACTTTGTAAGGCCGAGGCTGGCGGATCACAAAGTCAGGAGTTCAAGACCAGCCTGACCAACATGGTGAAACCTCGTCTCTACTAAAAGTACAAAAATTAGCCAGGCCTGGTGGCGCGCGCCTGTAATTTTAGCTACTAAGGAGGTTGAGGCAGGAGAAAAGCTTGAACTCCGGAGGCTGAGGTTGCAGTGAGCCGAGATCGGGTCACTGCACTACAGTTTGGGCGACAGAGAGATACTCTTATCTCAAAAAAAAAAAAAAAAAAAAAAAAAAAGGCAAACTAATTAAAATGCAGAGAGTATATGTCACAGGTAATTTAAATCGATCAATGCAGCAGCCCCTTACGATTGCAAAGCTGTTAAAAGGCGTGAGAAATACAGGAGAGAGGTTAATGTTCGTCAGTGTTTACATTTACATACGAATGTAGTGACTTAAAGCAACGGAACCAGAAACAACCTTTTATTATCTTTTGTATGCATCTTAATGATACGAAATTACCTGCAATTTGTAAGGATTTTTGAGGTCTGTTTTTGCTTTTTGCAAGCCACTTTCCACTCTACTGAGCTAACTCTCATTAATTATAAATAGGAATATAAACCTACATCCCTTGGAGCCAGATGGCCCTTAGGTGGAGCTTCTTTTCTTTGCACAGTGTTCAGCATGACTACAAGGGCACACTGGTCTTTTTGTGCCATTTATAAATTTGGCTATTTCTTTTCTTTACAGCAGATTACACAAATACCAGTTGAACTTGTAAAAGATGAGAGTGCTTTCATATGAGGATGTCATATTGTAGTTAAATATGTGTTCATGTTGCTTGGCATCAGGTTTCAAATTGTTAATGGTCATGGTGTACTTGGAACAAATTATTGAAAATATCTCCAAGTTTAAATAGACAGATCAAGACATAAAATTAGCCTTTCTAAACTTAAGAGGGTAAAAAGAAATCACTTGACCAATCACAACTAGCGCGCGTTTTTTCAAAACGTTGATCAAAGTCAGTTTCAGGCGCCAACGTTTTTTTAAAAATTAAGTAAGACACGTTATCCTAGTAGCTAGATAAAATTTTGCAGAGGAAAATCAAAGTACGTTTTTTTAAAAAGCCAGAAAGATGGCACAGAGGGGAAAGGGTTGAAAACACCAGCAGTTAAAGGAGACGGACGGAGGAAAGTTTTAATATTTGGTCTACATGCAGGAGATGTTCTGTCAGGGAGTGGACGTCTCCACCAATGGAGCTGCAGGGGAAAGGCTGCTTGGTCCAATCAGAACAGGGCAGCCTTTATATATACGGGTAGAAAAGTCTAGGCTTTCGGTTTTTCGTCATTTAGCGGGGTTTAGAAGTTCGCAATGGCTCGTACCAAGCAGACAGCTCGCAAGTCCACGGGTGGGAAGGCGCCACGCAAGCAGTTGGCCACCAAGGCTGCTAGAAAGAGCGCTCCGGCCACCGGCGGCGTGAAGAAGCCCCACCGCTACCGCCCCGGCACCGTGGCTCTGCGCGAGATCCGCCGCTACCAGAAGTCGACCGAGTTGTTGATTCGCAAACTGCCATTCCAGCGTCTGGTCCGTGAGATCGCGCAGGATTTCAAGACCGATCTGCGCTTCCAGAGCTCGGCGGTGATGGCGCTGCAGGAGGCCTGCGAGGCCTACCTGGTGGGGCTCTTTGAGGACACCAACCTATGCGCCATTCACGCCAAGCGAGTGACTATCATGCCCAAGGACATCCAGCTTGCTCGCCGCATTCGTGGGGAGAGGGCGTAAATTTTGTTGTGAATGTGTGCTAACCAAAACCCAAAGGCTCTTTTCAGAGCCAACCACCTTTTCTATAAAAGTTGCTGTGTACTGTTGCTGTCCGTAAACTGGAATCTCTGTTCAGTCAAGGTAAGTAAGCATTCTTACCTCTATCCCTCTCCCCTCCCTTCACGGAATTGGTGTAAAAAATTTGATAATTGGGCAGTTATTAAAACAGCCTTTAAGGTACTCTAGTTTTTAATTTCTGTTTTTGGGGGGCCGCTTTCTGGGGCTTGGGTACCTCCGGCTTGGGAACTTTCTTGGCCACCTTTGACCAACCAACCTTTTTCTCCAGCAGCCTCCACCCGCAAAAGCCTTCTTTGGGGTCTGCTTAGTACTTTTCTTCGGAATAAGGGCGTCCCAAGCTTTCTTGGGCCTTTCGGCTGCCGGGACAGCTGTCTTGGGCATGACTGCAGCGGCTTTCCTGGCCTTGGTCTTGATTTTCCTAGGACCGCCTTGTTTAGCGGGAACGAACCCGAGGCGCTGCTCTTCTTAGCACGAAGATGCCCTCATTTGTTTTCAAGGCCTAGCCTTATTCAAATGATTTTTAAAAGTTTGTATTTATTTTTACAACGAGGTCTCACTATGTTACCCAGGCTGATCTCAAAACTCCTCAGCTTGGCCAGGCAAGGTGGCTCAGTCTTGTAATGACAGCACTTTGGGATGCCAAGGCGGGCGGATAACGTGATGTCAAGAGTTCGAGACCAGCATGCCCAACACATTGAAACTTCATCTCTACTGAGAATACAAAAATTAGCCAGGTGTGGTGGCACACGCCTGCAGTCCCAGCTACATGGAAGGCTGAGGCGGGAGAAGGACTTGAACCCGGGAGGCGGAAGTTGCAGTGAACCGAGATGGCCCCACTATACTCCAGCTTGGGCAGCAGAGCTAGGTTCCGTCAAAAAAAAACCCAAAAAACAAAAATCAAACAAACAAAAAATTCCCAAACACAAACAAAACCACCAAAAACAACTCCTTAGCTTAAGAGATTCTCCCGCCTTGGCCTCCCAAAATGCTGAGATTACACCGCGACCGGCAAGCTCCGGCTTAATGCGGCCGCTCTACTTAACATAGCCGCCAACACCTTGAGCGCGGCCACAGACAGGCTGCTAGGTCATTAGTGAACTCGGGTACCGAAGGAGCCTGGATGTCTTGCGCTTCACTGCACCTTCGGACTTGCAAACCTTTTTCTTTACTTAAGTCTTTGACTTGGGAGATACACCAGGAGTCACGGCATGTAAAGTTTCGGACTTGATTGTAGGTTTGGATATCTAATAGTTAAAAAAAAAAAATCAGGCTGCGAGTGTATCTATGATTACGTGTTATGTCACACACAGACACGCTGCGCGCTGATTGGTTCCCAGCTCAGTCTTTCAGCTTGGCAGCAACCTAGTCTCAACCCTGTTTCTGAGTTGTTTGTTGAAATTCAGAAAAGCAAAATAGTTTAAATTTCCTTAGGAGGAATCACACCAATTCTATTCTACAATGAACCAGAACGGCTAAGTGTTTATGATCTTTACATTTTCTTTCTCTAGTTTTTATTAAGGCAGCCTCGGCCTTTATCAAACGTTCCAGCTTTCAGAGATTCACAGTTCAGAGGGACAACTTGATTTTCATTTAAAATATAAACTCTTCCATTCGTGTCTTCAATTGCTTGCTGTCTTGTAATAGCCTACACATTTTTGGCCTCTCATACAGTGAACAACTACTTGATTTTCATTGAGATTTAACCAGGAAATCTGTTTTATATGAGAAGAGAAATAACAGGTTCTTTTTGAATTTCTCCAGAAGAACAGCAGTACGGATACTTAGAACAACAGCTCTTTCTGATAAAATTAGTTGGGGCTGAAAATGTTTTATGATAGCTTCTTGTTACTATTTGGATATTTAGTTAATTTGGGAGGGTTCAAACAAATGTTCAACATTTCCTTGGGAAAATGGGAAATACAATGATCAGTGATTCTCCAGATGTTGGGACTGTTTGCATAGCTGAACTCAGGAGAGATCCAGGAAAGGGCATAAAAGACAGAGAGTTTGACTCATTTATGAGTCAAAAAAAAATTTTTTTTAAATTTTTACTGGGGGAAATTAATTACTAAAATGTTCTTGAGTCTTTGGGTTCAGGGGTCTGTCATGCTTGGGGACATGGGGCAGATAAACTTTTGCAAAATATTCAAGTAACAGGATCAAGGATTATACACACAACCACCACACACACACAAAATTCCCTAGAGAGAGAAATTTAAAGAACAACCATGTTTCATATTCAGTACTACATTTCTTGTTTAAACAACAATATAGGCTTATAGTGAATGAAGTACAGCTTATGTTCGATATGAGAGGAAAATGGAGTGATGGCAGAAAGTGATTTAACTGATTTTCTTCACTCCTCAATGTCTTGAACATATGTTGATCTGGGGAGCATATACATTTATATGTTTTACTAAGACTATGAAGGAAGTAAATGCTGGGGACAGCAAAACCCAAAAGGTGAGGGTTTCACACTTTTTGATCGCATCAAAATACAAATGACTTCATGTAGCAAATGCAACTAGGACATGAACAAATTAATGTTAATAAAAATTAAAATCAAATGGTTGAGATGAGAAACGAGCTAAATATGAATCACATTTACTTTGAGTGTGTATTCACTTTTTATGGAGCCCATGTATTTCTAATCTTAAAATGGCTTTGACCCATTATATTTGATTTCCTGGAGCACCAACAAAGGAAGAACTGACTTGTAGCCTTCCAACTGCGGGACTTCTCTAAGGTACTGTCCTATTTGCCTTCATGGGTTTGGGAGTTAGTTTCTTGCAGGTAACTAAAGTCTCTCCCTTCAGGCCTGTCCTCTTGCCTAAGTATCAAATTTGCATTTCTGGATGATTGCTGGATATCCGCTTGTTCATCTTCTGTACCAGACTCAGTATGACCATCCTCATCTAAGTAGCTTCTGTCTAACTAAGATTGCTGGATATTGGCTTTATTGTTTACCTATAACACACCCTCAACATATCCAACCACATCTAGGAAGCAACCTTTCAAGTGACATTCCTATATATTCTATTCACAACAACACTATTGCTTTGTTAACCAACACTTCAATTATTCCCTTTCCTTTGTTGCCAAATCCAATCTGTTACTAAGTTTGGTGAATTCTCCCTAAATTCATCTTCCCTTGTTTATTTGCCTTTTCATGGTTGT